TTTGGGGTTAGGGTTTGCCGTTTAGGTGTAGGGTTTAGGGTTTAGGGTTTAGGGTTTAGGGTTTAGGGTTTAGGGTTTAGGGTTTAGGGTTTAGGGTTTAGGGTTTAGGGTTTAGGGTCTAGGGTCTAGGGTATAGGGTTTAGGGTTTAGGGTTTAGGGTTTAGGGTTTAGGGTTTAGGGTCGGGGTTACGGAGGCGTTCTGGGTTCTGGGTTCTGGGTTCTGGGTTCTGGGTTCTGGGTTCTGGGTTCTGGGTTCTGGGTTCTGGGTTCTGGGTTCTGGGTTCTGGGTTCTGGGTTCTGGGTTCTGGGTTCTGGGTTCTGGGTTCTGGGTTCTGGGTTCTGGGGGTTCTGCGGAACAAGTTCAATTGCTCCCCCGCGAAAAACCAGGCAACAAGACCAAGATCTGCGATTTTCCACGGTCCTACTTCGGGCAGATTGGCACTGGCTGGAGGTTGGGGGAGTGGTAGGGCCCTAAACCCTAAACCCTAAACCCTAAACCCTAAACCCTAAACCCTAAACCCTAAGGCTGCTTTTGGGTGAACAGACTCCTCATGTGTCTTAGGCCAGGGCGCAAGCCCTGCCACGGCTCCCGACATCGCGCCCACGGAGGTGGGCGCTCCGTCCAAGATGCGCTCCACCGTGATCCACATGACCTGGGTTTTGGGAACCCTAAACCCGAAACCCTGAACCCTAAACCCTAACCCTAAACCCTCAACCCTCAACCCTCAACCCTCAACCCTCAACCCTCAACCCTCAACCCTAAACCCTAAACCCTAAACCCTAAACCCTAAACCGTAAACCCTAAACTCCAGGGTACCATCGCGGCAGCCGCCGCGATGTAGGTGGTTGCGATGGCGAGGCCGCAGTCTGCATTGGCCGCAAAGGCCGAGCCGCCGTTGAAGCCGGTCCAACCGAGCCTTGGCTGCACTTAGGAGGGTTTAGGGTTTAGGGTTTAGGGTGTAGGGTGTAGGGTTTAGGGTTTAGGGTTTAGGGTTTAGGGTTTAGGGTTTAGGGTTTAGGGTTTAGGGTTTAGGGTTTCGGGTTTCGGGTTTCGGGTTTCGGGTTTAGGGTTTGGGGTTTGGGGTTTAGGGTTTAGGGTTTAGGGTTTAGGGTTTAGGGTTCAGGGTTTCGGGTTTGGGGTTCCTTGTTAAGAAACCCAATAAACCCGAAAAGGCTACAAAGGAGCCAGAGGATGCCCCCGCCCAAGATCACGAAGGGCAAGTTCGAGGGGAAGCTCTCGTCTTTGTGCCTTCGACCCTACCCCGGGTTTAGGGTTTAGGGTTTAGGGTTTAGGGTTTAGGGTTTAGGGTTTAGGGTTTCGGGTTTCGGGTTTAGGGTTTAGGGTTTAGGGTTTAGGGTTTAGGGTTTAGGGTTTCGGGTTTCGTGAAACTCACAGACTTCGAAACTCGCCGCCTTCGCTCGCCGAGTAGGGATGCCAAAGCAAAGGCGGAGGTGCCAGAGCTGATGTGAACCACGGTGCCTCCTGCAAAGTCCTGGGGGGCAATATACTTGGTAACAGCCCCAATCCTGACCGAAGATGGTCGAATTGCGACAGGGGTTGAGGGGTTTAGGGATTGAGGGCTTGAGGGCTTGAGGGCTTGAAGGGGTCTAGGGTTTAGGGGATTTAGGGTTTAGGGTTTAGAGTTTAGGGGTCCAGGGGTTTCGGGCTTAGGGGCCTGAGGGCTAAGGGCTCCGCAGCTTCGCTGCTCCCAACGATCCTTGGCACCCATTTCGGCGATCCAGCCGCCGCCCCAGATCCAGTGGCACAGCGGCACATACACCGCTAGGACCCAGGCGACGATGAAGATGGCGTAAGCCGAGAATCCTGGACCCTAGCCCTAAACCCTAAACCCTAGCCCTAAACCCTAAACCCTAAACCCTAAACCCGAAACCCTAAACCCTAAACCCTAAACCCTAAACTCAGGGCCTAGGCCGCCCCCCTACAGAAGGGGGGCGGCGCTTAAGCCCTTCGACCTGGATGGCGAAAGTCGACCCAGGTCGCTTGCCCGCCTCCTGCAGCCCGGAGGTCGGTAGCACCCACGATGGGCCCGGTACCGGAGCAGGTTCTCCCGGGGACCAGTACTGGTCCCCTTAATAAAGTAAATACCCTAAATTTCAAGTACCCTGGATGGGGCTGGCTTTTCTGGGGAGGGTACCCCAAGGCCCCCAAGCCAGGAGGACCTGGACCCCTCACCGCAGCGTGTCCAGGGACCAGGGGGCCTCAGGGCTGGTCCAGGCAGGGTGGGCGCTCAAAAAGTGCTTTTTTGGGTTTCTCGATTTTTTCTGGCCCCTGCCTCTCCCTGGCCCCCCTGGCCCCCCCTGGCCCCCTGGCCCCCGCTGCCTTGGCCCCCCCTTGACCCCCTCCCGGCCCCCTGGCCCCCTCTGGCCTTGCCTGGCCCCCCCTGACGGCTTTGATCCTGACCCCTTTGCCTCCGACCCACCCCCGAACTTCATGAAAAAAAATGAACTGTTGCCTTGAGTTTAGGCCTAAACCCTAAAAGGAATAGGTTTGGGTGGCTTTGCCGCCTTGGACGGCGTGGGGTGGGAGAAAAGTATTAGATGGCCCTCCACAATCGGGCCAAAAGCTGCTCTTCGCACCTCACGAAGCTTTCGAGCTTGTTCCGAAACCTAACCTTCACAGCACCTACGCCCTATCACAGCAAACCCTAAACCCTAAACCCTAAACCCTAAACCCTAAACCCTAAACCCTAAACCCTAAACCCTAAACCCTAAACCCTAAACCCTAAACCCAACCCAAAGCGAAGTGTGCCAGGGGATGGTGCTCGTTGTCAGGTCAACATGCTCGTGCTGCCTGGAATCTGACAAAGGTAGGAGCTGCTCCATAAGGGATTTCATCCCAAAGTTGCGCTCTAAATCCTACACCCCTAGTTAAACCCAAACCCAGGAGTAGGTAAGACTAAACCCTAAACCCTAAACCCTAAACCCTAAACCCTAAACCCTCTCAACCTTCGACTTGAGTGGGCAGCAAGGGCTTAGCTGAGGAGCGGATGCGCTCGACGACGGCACCGGAGATGATCGCCGCCGCAATAATGGCCTGAGTTAAGGGATTTAGGCTTTTCGGGTTTGGGGTTTAAGCAGTTACTTCTTGATGTATTTGTTTTTTGTTGGAACCCCTAAACCCCTAAACCCCTAGACCCCCAAAGGTTTGCCCTGAGCGCGCCCAGAAGCAAAGGTCATCTGGAAGATCGCGAAGGTCAGACCTGTCTAGTGAATGGTTCAAGGGGGGGTATGTCCCAAGGCTCCCTAAGGCTCCCTAAGCTTCCCTAAGGTTCCCTAGGTACCTACCCCCATGAACTGCCCCCCCTTAAGAACCCAATAAGGGTTTCGAAGTTTTCCAGCGAAGGGATGCTCCGGACTTCGTTTTTTTGTCAACCAGAATGGGGGGGGTGTGAGGATGGTCCGGGTTCAGGGTTCAGGTTCCAGGGCCCAGGGTTTAGGATTTCGGGTCTAGCGTTTCATAGCCGAGGGGTTTTTGGAGTCTGGGGCGTGTGCCTGGCATGGTCGTGCCGGGCCAGACTGTGTCGAGGTTGCGGAAGCCGACGTACGTGAAGCCCTTCCCGGCACCCCACTCATCGAAAGACCAGGTGAAGCCGAACACAAGCCAGGTGATGGTCGTCAGTCCCATAGAAATGACCGACCTAAGTAGCGGCTCGAGCGGGCTCTGAGGCTTGGGGCTTTGGGTACCTCGGGTTTAGGCTGTGGCCTGCTGACATGCGCAGCAGCTCATCTCGTCGTCTCTTACGTGGCAGCCCGGCGGCATCATCATGGTGTTCACGATGTTGCTGTCGCGCACCAGCCCGCCATAGAAGAATGCGAGGCCTGACGGAGGAGGAACTGTATCTGCGACACAACTTAAGCCCGTGGGTGGTTAGAGGCAGTGCGCGGAGAGAGGCGCTGAAAAAGCGCGAGGTGTAAAGAGGCGACATGCCCCAGAGCTCTAGGGCGGTATCTGCGCACAACCTAAACCGGTAGGTGGTTAGAGGCCTGAAGAAAGGCCTGACGGAGTATAGGGTTCGGGGTTAAGAAATTAGGGCGATGAAGTCTGTGAGACTCAGCCACTCACACCGGGGGGTGGTCAGGCACACCACGAGGGAGTGCGGAGACGGGGGAGGAGAGCCTGCAGAACGGAATGCGGTCTACACCCTGTGCGAAGTCCCCAAATCCCAAACTCCCGAACCCGAACCCCCCGCCAAAAAAAAATCCTTAAGCCCGAAACCGATCAGATGCCAACCGGACGCTGGCATAAACCCAAAACACCAAAAAACCTAGACCCGAAAACGAAAGTGCCACACACCACAGCTACCCTGAACTCTAAACCCTAAACCCTAAACCCTCAAGCCCTAAACCCTAAACCGTAAACCCTAAACCCTAAACCCTAAACCCTTAACCCTAAACCCTAAACCCTAAACACCCTTAAACCCTTAAACCCTTAAACCCTTAAACCCTAAACCCTTAAACCCTTAACATGGCTGCCACGCCTGGCGTCATGAAGAGCACCAGAGCACAGGACGTGGCCATCCAGGCCTTGGCCATGCCCTAAACCCTAAACCCCAAGCCCTAAACCCTAAACCCTAAACCCTAAACCCTAAACCCTAAACCCTAAACCCTAAACCCTAAACCCTAAACCCTAAACCCTAAACCCTAAACCCTAAACCCTAACCTGCATGCATCTAGGGCACAGTGTCGCCATGGCTGAGGGCTTCCATCGTCCCTCACACGAACTGTGGGCTTGTGGCCTTTTGGAGGCAGACGCTTGAGCCCGACCGCAACTGCGTAGGAGTTGGGGTTTAGGGTTTAGGGTTTAAGGTTTAGGGTTAGGGTTTAGGGTTTAGGGCTGAAAACGGCCTTGTCTCCCAAAGCCGATAACCTCAGACGCAACCGGTGTACCAACAGACACCTTAAACACCCTTGGACCGAAGACTGAGTGCAGCAACCTGAGCTGAAACACCACACTTTCTTTGAATGAGTCTTCTTAGGACGCCCAGTCGGAACCCCCTAAAGCCCTAAGCCGCGCAGCCTCAGGTCAGAGTTTATGGTGGAGGGCTTAGGGGTTCTGAGGGTAATTGAGGGTGTCGGGGTTGGGGATTTAGGGCTTTACGAGGCATAGGGTTGTCTGTCAGGGCTGAGCAGCTGCAGCACGGGCGAGTGTTGCAGGTTGACGCCGTGGTTGATGCCTCGCTTGCGCGAAAGGTTTCCACGGCCTATAAGCCCGATCAACCCGTTCCACAATCAACCGTTTCATGAATGAACCCTATATTAAACCATAACAAGCCCTAGAAATCCTATAAACCCCTTAAGCCCAACAAACCGCCCAAACCCCAAAAACCTCACAAACCCCCCACTTTTGGGGTAGTTACATGGTCCCTTAGTATGGGCCCTTAACAGGGGGACCCCCTTATATACCCCTTATATACCCTATAAACCCCAAGCGCCCATGCTTCAGAACCCTTGAAAGGAGGCACGGGACCAGATAAAGGGCCCATGAAACTACCGTAAATCCACTCCAAACCCTCTCTTGAAGGTTGAGGGTTTAAAGTTTAGGGCTTAGGCTTCGGGCTTAGGGTTTAGGGTTCTGGGTTTTGGGTTTAGGGATGTTTAGGGTTTAGGGTTTCGGGTTTAGGGCTTAGGGATGTTTAGGGTTTAGGGGTTAGGGTTCAGGGTTTAGGGGGGAGCTTTGTAGAGTCTTAGGCGCCATCTGCCAGCAGGAAGGTCGTTGCCAAGTGGTGCACTTCACCAGCCTGGGCTTTTGGGGCCTACGGAGCTTCGAAACCCGAAGCCCCAAACCCTGAACCCCTGAGCGGGCTTTCGGCGCTTGGAGGTCAGATGTGAGGTTTCAGGGGGCCAACATGGGCTGGGGCGTGCAAAAAAAATGCTTTGAGGTCTGCCAAAACTCAAGCAGAGCGATCAGCGGCTTGGGGTTAGGGTTTAGGGCTTGGGGTTTACGGCTCAGGGCTAAGGGTTTGAGAGTTTAAGGTTCAGGGCTTGGGGCTTAGGGTGTAGGGCAAAAGCCGGCCAAAAAACTCAAACACAAGGGGGAGGTTCTCAAAGTTAGGGTCCCTGTTGGGATCCTTACTTTTTGTTATGGTCTCATGAAAGAAGGGCCCACAAGGCAGAGAATTCCCCCAACAAAGTGCTGAACCCTCAACCCTAAACCCTCAACTCTCAACCCTAAACCCTAAGCCCTAAACCCAAAATCCTAGAACCCTAAACCCTAAACCCTAAACCCTAAACCCTAAACCCTAAACCCTAAACCCTAAACCCTAGACCCTAGACCCTATAACCCTAAACCCTAAACAACTCATGAAAAAGGGAAGCGCAGCCTCGCCAGCGTGGGGTCGGTAGGTGAAATGCCAGGGTCGGCCCAACAACTTGCAGAGGTGATTCCACCTCCGCGGCAAGGCCATGTTTAGGGCTTTGGTGTGTGGGGTTTAGGGTTTAGGGCTTAGGGCTTCGGGCTTGGTATTTGGGGTTGAGGACTTCGAGAGCTTGTAGGGCGCAAGCGCTCAGAGCCTAGGGCTGGTTGGGGGTTTGGGCTCAGGGTTTGGGGGGGGGGGGGGCGAGGGACCGGGGGGAGCGCTTGCTTTGGGGATTTTTGGAGTTTGGGATTAGGGATTGCTTCCACTGAGCTCCGAAACCCTCGTCAACGATTTTTTCGGCTACAGTATGGGCCCCTTCTTGGGGCGGGCCCCCCCCCCCCCCCACGTACTCTTACCCACGGGACCCACAGGAAATGCTTCAATTCCTGTGGGTCTTGGCCTGTCCACCCATGGCTTCATCCCTCCCCATCCTCCCAGCACTCTGCCCACCCCACCCATCCATCCGGTCATTATTGGTTCATGGGGCCCCTCATGGCTCCGTCCCTGGCTCCCGCTCCCCGTGGCCCCATGAGGTCATGGATGGGGCCATGGCCCTTGGCTGGCTCTGTGGTTACATAGACAGCCAATGGATAAGGGCAGATCTGTATCAGATTGTCGGGCTTCTCTGGGTAGATCTTCTGGAAGAGCTGCTGCAACAAGTGATCGTCGAACAACGTGTGGACCGGCAGGTCATCTGCTGCAACCCTAAACCCTAAACCCTTAACCCTAAATCCCACCTTCACGAAGGTCATGTCCAGGTCGAGGGGGAAAAATTGATTTGAGAGCCCACCCTTGTCTGCACAGGCACTGGAGCAAAAGCATCTGCTTGTCTGGGTCGGGGGCCTGTATCCAAGAAGTCACCCCTGTGAAGAAGACAGTAGGCTGGATTGACTTGTGGCGTCACAATTTCTTCTTCACCAAAGGTCTGAATAATCAGACCTGGCAGGAAGCCCCCCAATCAAGTTCACCACCTCCCTGGGAAACCTCCCTGGAAACGCCATCTGGGCCCGATTTGAAGATCATGGCTGAGTCCTGGGCCTGACAGTTGCAGAATGCTACGCCCGCCTTAGAGCCGGAAGCGGGTCGCGTAGCGTGAAATGACGGCACAAGCCAAAGAAGGAAT